CTTTGTGTGCTATTTGGAACGTGGCAACTCGAACTGCTGCACTTCGGTGCCAAGTTCTATGTTGAATCCAGACAGACACAGACAGATAGGCATTCTTATCGACGTCCAACAATCGTTGTATTTCCTGACCTAAAGGCGGCATTCGATTCTGTGATGGTGATGTTTGGCTGTGAAAGGAATGTCAAGGAAATGCATCGCACTGATCAAGGCACTCTACTCGAACTCATGCAGCCAGGTTAGAGCTGAAGTGGTGACAACTAGTGGTGTCTGTCAGGGATCCCCACTGTCCCCACTTCTGTTTAATTTCATCGCAGATGTATTGATGAACTTATTCCTAACTGACTTCAGAAACTTAGAGATTGACTTGTTACCAGGGAATAGTTTTGTGGACTTGGAGTATGCGGATAATATAATCATCCTAGGTGAAGTCGCTGATAAGATGTAGAGTCGTCTGAACACCTTGGGAAGAAATCTTAGAATGTCTGACGTGCAACTTGCTCCTGTTGTTAAATGTGAGATGACGCTAAAGGACTGGACCACATCAACACCTAGCTTATAGATAGGGAGTGAAGTGGTAGAACATGTTGACTGCTTCACTTATTTGGGAAGTTGCATCAGCCAGTGCCAACGGGTTGATGGCTAACGAAATCTCAGCACGGATACAGAAGGCTCGTTTCGCATATGCCAGTTTACGCCACCTCTGGCTTAGGAGACGTGATATCCGGTTGACTGTTGACCAAAGAGTGAGTGTACTGCTCAGCAGTTCGCTCCATCCTCCTTTAAGGCTGTGAGACATGGCCACTGAAAGTGGAAGACATAAAAAGGCTAGCTAGCTGTCTTTGATCATAGGTGTCCGCGTTCTATCTCCCTTTTGAAATGGTATAACAACGTGAAGAATATTGAGGTTAGGCGTCGAGTTGCAGGTAAGGAGAGGAAATCAATCGACGAGGTTGTGAAGTGAAGTTGACTGGGTTAGATGGTTAGGACATGTGTTACACATACCTAGGCATAGCCTTCCTCGATGGGCAATGTTTGCTGACATAGGATCAGGTTGGAAAAGTTAGTGGTAGTCAAACCAAAACATGGCATCATCAGTCAATGAAATCCACAACAGTTAGTCTAAGACACGTACGAAGGTGTAGACTTCCTGACTGGTTGGGGTCTTCAGGATGGTGGATACCATTGGCTGGGGACAATCAGTGATATGGCTCAAAATCGTCCTCAATGGCTAGCGCAGATGCATTCACTCTTTGTGACTTATCGAAACGAATAAAAGTACTGTTCTTCCATATTACTATTCTTTTTGCCTTACATTTGTGTTTATTATCTCTCTTTTGAATCTCTCTTCACTCTCCTCTTTTGCTTTGTTGGCTAAAGCGAGGGAGAGTGGCAACTAGACCTGCTTCGCATCTGTGCAGAGTTCTACGTTGTAACCAGTCAGTCAGTCTTGAAATAAAATGAGCTTAGTTAATCCTAAAAATATCTTTTCCAAGCTTTATTAATTTGATAAAACGATATGCTTTGTTGATTAAAAAAATGGTTCGGTCGTTATGCTTTATCTTGTATTAAATACATCATGATATCTTCAATTGAAGGATAAACTGGCAAGAAAACATACGATTTACTTGTTAGTCAACGGAATACGTAATTTCGCATTAGAAAAGCATCTTGGAAATTAGATATATTATATTTTTAAAACCTAACGCGCAAAGCACGTGATTTTTATTCAACTCAACATGTTCACAGAAATTCTTATAATCTCATAATTTTTTTATTATAGCTTGAAACCACACAGTATTTTTGGTGCAGGTATGGAATTTTCAGCATATGATATCGGTAGCCCAAATTTTGCAGGCCGACCATAGATATCAAGTACGTCGGTAGGGGATCGAATCCCGGACCATGTTCATGGTCGGCGAGATTCCCAACCGCTATGCTACCGACGCACTTCTGTGATAGTGAATATATGTTTAGATGGGTAACTTATGGAGAAATTTGTAATTCCCATCATGAGAACTGAGAAACAGATACCAGTGATTTGATTGGTTCATTCATTCAGGTAGGAGAAGAAGTAATCGCTTGTCTTCTGCAACATTCATTTTTACAAGTGTCAACTCATATTATGTCTTGTAAATAGAAATTTGAAATCTAAAGACTTTCCAACCGTCTCAATGAAAAGCATCCACTTGAGGCGTTCAACTGTTTCATAGTTACATACTTTTGATTAAAAACTTAAAATTCGACTGAAGTAAATTTTTAAAACTTGTTGTGCTAAGTCTATTTTCTATGGGAGATTTACTTCAAATAACAGCGTGCAAAAACCAATAAGATCATGAAATTAAAAAAGCATTGGAGCTTACTTCAATATTTTTAACTTCTTGTAATATCATTGGTTCAGTTAGATTATCAAATAGTCCATCTGTGCCAACGATTATAATATCACCAGGTTTAACTTCCACGCTAGTTTGAACAGCTTGGTTCGGCCTACGTAATTAATATTTAGAGGAAACAAGTGAAATATTATCAAATATACTAAAAACGTCACTGAGACAGACAGATATAGGAATAAAGTGATACCGAACACATGTGAAGTAAGTACCCAGTTGGTGAATTTTTTCGGGAACCTGGGATACGTGGGCAGTTTTCCGTTCAAATTTGTGCAAAGTGGGAAAAGGTAGGCTGTTTCCGGTTGTAACATGGGTAAAGTGTTCGTTGAAAAAGTGGGACAATAAAATTTTTCGGGACATGGGCAAACGGGGAAAAAGTGGCTAATATGGGTAAAGTGGGTTAATTATGTAGTGTTTTAACCACCTTTTGCCCACGTCTTGGCCGATCAAAATTACCCAATTAGCCCACATTGTCCAGGTGCATTCTCTGATTGGGTAAGAGCATACAAACGTATCGTGTAACATATTGACAACCATCTAAAAAAACAATCCTCAAACAATAACGGTATTTATTTGAAGCGTGTTAAAAAGTATTCTTCCATATTTCCATTGTTCAGTGAAGCTAACGAATCAAAAATGATGTCAGTAATAGACATGCATTTTCGAGGAAAGTGCACCTTACTATTCATCCTTATTAATAAGACGACTGAGAACAGTTAAACACAATTAACTGGACACTGAAGAGTAATTAGTGTCCTTTTTTCTGGTGTTTAGCATTGACTAAATTCTACCGGGTGATTTGACCCTGTGGGTAAGGTGATGGGAGACAATCATTAGAAAACTGTGAATGTAAACTTTACGCTTACAGACACTCAAATGACAAGAGGCTTTTGTAACCACGAAGGAAATTGATATCATCCTAAGAAATTCTAATCCATATGCTCCAGTGATTCGTGATGACAAAAAAAAGGTATCAGGACGATTTGAGATGAATTTGAACAAAATACAGTTGTACCCAGTTATTTGGATCATTTATTCGGACACCGAAGTATATTCTAGCTTCATATTCCCAAAATTAGAAGAAAACAGAAACGTAAACTTCGTATTCGGAAAAGATTTTGTAGAACTATGCATACACTCTAATGGTAGTCCTTTTCAACAAACTCAAACTCTAACTTCTCCCCTCCCCCTAATTTTAATAGTTTCCATGAAGTTCTACAACAGATTTGCCTATTTTTTGTCCGTAAAAAGGCATTCAGCTATCCATACTAAACACTTGTTATTAACTAACAAACCCCAACATCTTATTCCAACTCGCGACACAGATGGAAATCCGTAATCATCACTTCTAAACCCTTCAGTAATCGGTGGTTGGACTATCCGAGATTGCCTTACTTTGGTAGACTGCTTTTAAATCTTTAGATATTCCCATTTTTAATATTAGAACAAGACATATTAGAGAACAATATTGTTTTCAATTAGATCTCCTTCAGGCTTTACTCTAATTTACACAGATTTATATATAAAAATTTTAACCAATGACGGTGATTTTGTGGATCATATCATAATAATAATGTGTTAAATGTTTTGAACGTCATTAATGACGGTTATAATGATAACAAAATAATGATAATAAGGTTTATGCAGGTGGCGATAAGAATGACGAAGGTAGTAGTATGTGTATGTGTAGACAATTCAATAAATAAATTAGGCCACCTCTTAAAAGTTACGCAATACTAGAGGTGAAGTGGACAGATAATCAGAGTTTAAATAAATATCATAAAAGTACGAAGGTCCAAATACGTTATCATAGTAGATTTGTAAGGAGACACATGAACACCAAGTACAATATAGAGAAACTAACAACAGTTGAAAAGAAACAACTGTTCACAAAACTGCAATTTAGTGGGAACGTGGCTAGCGAAGTCTTACATCTGAGATTATCGAGAGCGATAAAACGGACTTATACTGCCGCCACCCTTTGTGTTTGTCATTTTCCAGCCGATCAATTATGATTTCTCAAGTGAAAGACAAGCTACCTAGCTGTGCCACTTCTATGTGTATCTACAAATTTAGCTGCTCCTGTGGAGAGAGCTATATAGGGCGAACAACTAGACAGCTTAACAAACGCACTAATGAGCATCTTCCTTCTTGGTTCGGAAAAGGTCAAATAAAATCTATAAAAAGTTCTGTTTTAGTTCATTTGATTGATAGCGGTCACCAGGTGGACAAAAGTAGTGCCTTCAAAGTTATCTATCGCATTCCATCGAGCCTTTCGAACGGAATTCGAACCCGTCTTTTACAGGTGGCCGAAGCTATGGGAATTAATTCGAGAGAACAATCCTAGTCTTTGCATACAAAAGGAGTTTGTTCTACCTTTGTCTCTCCCTTGGTCTAGGTGAATTCTATTCAAGACTGCTTTTACTGTAATAGACAATGATTGAAGGTAATAATGGAAATCTCGATCACTGCAAGGTGTTCACAGGTAACCTCTAAATTATTAAATATTTCTTTGTTTCCTAACTCATGGTCCCATAATAGCTATTAAGGAGCTGATCAATCCCTCATTAACCAACCACTTTAAAATTATCAAAAATTTGCTTTTTAACTTACAAGTCACAGTGAAACTGCCTTGAATGAACTATTGGTAAACAGGCCAACTGGAATGGCGTGTTAAATGAATGCTTTTGATGAACCGATCGATGAATTACATTTCCCTCACGTATGACCAGATAGCCACTGTCGCCCAAACTAGCTCCATACACTCTGTGTTCATTTCGCTGTAAGGATATAATGCATAAAGTGGCACTTCCTGTGAAAATCAGAAAAGTGAATGCAATACATAAACAAACATTTTCAAATGAAGAAATAAATAATCAACTTCAAAATATTTTCAGCAAACTGTTGAACAAAAAATGCATCATGAGTTGCATCTTTACCAGCAAACCTGACTAATGTTGTTAAAATAAACGCTCAAACGTAGGACGATAGAGTACGATTACAAAGTTATGGTCCGGAAGCGAAAATTCGGACAACCTAACTGCAGTTCTGTTTCCACACTACACTGTCAATAGTTAACGTGTAAGAACTCCAAGAAGGCTAAAAGTTAGTAGGCAGAAACTTACTAGACGAAAAATTACCAAAATGATAGTCATCTGTTATATTCATCACGAAAATCCTGCAGTTTTTAATTCTATAAAGAGAAGTAGAAATTTATCGTGTGCACATTTATCCCAATCTCCTAGATAAACGCTAAAGGCATAAATTTCCGTTAGCTAAAAGTAAATCATTATATTTGTTGTAACCCTGTATGTTCCTTGGCATTATCTTGGATGAATTTATTGCACTTTGTTAGGTTATCGACGGAGGCTCATAATCTATAATTATTAAAAGTAATCGTCAAAAAGCTAAAACCGCATATAAGCGTCCAAGAAGAAACAGTTTTTCGATATTTGGTATTTGTTTACTCAGTTATTTATCTGGCACTAATCCACTGCTGCTGGACTCAACATAGAACTTGGCACCGAAGTGCAGCAGTTCGAGTTGCCACGTTCCAAATAGCACACAAAGGTAGACAAGAAAATGAGCGATGAAGAGAATCAATAGAATTTAGACAAGTATAAGAGTGAAACAGAATGAGTAATGGTAGAAAGGAATATGAAAGGTTAAAGAGACTGAATACATCTGCGCCATTGACAACGATTTTGAGCCATGTCACCTAGTGTCTCCAGCCATTGATTCTTAGAGTCCCGAGGGCCCCAACCCGGAAGTCTGTATCTCCCTACCTGACTCAGTTTAACTGTCAGGGATTTCATGGATTGATTGATGCGATGTTTTTGTTTGGCCACCACTTACTCTTTTCCAACCTGCACCTATATCAGCTAGTAATGCCCATCGGGGGAGACGATGGCTAGGCATGCGCAGCACGTGACCTACCCATCTCAATCTATGTAACTTTATAGCCTCTTCGATTGATTTTCCCTCTTTGCCCAACACTCTACGCCTAACGTCAACATTACTTACCTTATAATACCACCTAACATGAGAAAGAGATCGTAAACATCTATGATCAAAAACAGACAATCTCTTCATGTCTTCCGCTCTCAATGGCCACGTCTCACCGCCATAGAGAAGGACGGAGCGAACTGCTGAGCAGTACATACGTCCCTTGGTTGATAGCCGGGTGTCACGCCTACGCCAGAGACGGTGTAAGTTAGCGAATGATTATGAAACCTCTGTCTATAACGTTACTCACAACCTCATCCACTACATTTTCCAAATTCCATAATACCCTTCTTGTTACCGGTAAAATTATTTTCACAAAAATGTATACATAATCGCATCTCACAATACCTTGTCCATTTCATTTTTATGAGTACAACTCTTAATCTCTTTTGACAATAATTGAATTAACAACTGTAATCCACCGAACGGTTTTTATAAGTTATAGGCAAAAGTTGACAGGTGAAAGAAACAAATCCGTGTTGTCATGTTCAATTCATCCTTTTCAAACCTTTCAATACTACTTTTTGTCCCCAGACCATCAAGATTATCAGAAATTTTATATGATTTCCTAATTTTAATAAAAGTGTACAAGCCACCGCACATAGGTTTGTGAACAAGAGTGTAAGCAAGTAAAATTGGTTGATTATACATACCTAAAATAAGTTCTTTAGAATTCAGAACATCTTCATAGCACTGAGCTATTAGAATATCCAGTTTATCGGGCATAAAACGTCCTGAGTTTACAAGACGCTCACAATTCTTCATAACTGCCCTGGAAAATCGACCAGGATCAACTCCATATGACCGCCAGCCACCAACACCATCAGCGACACCTATCATTTACAGAAATGCGATATGTCAAAACAATTGAATAAGACTAAAATAAATCCTTATACAATCAATTATTAAAATAATTACCATCTAAAACAGTAAAATATTCATGAAATATCGATTATTCGGCTGAAAGAATAGAAATATTTAAGCTACCTACTGATAGTACCATTCACAAAGAATATTTGCAGTACTTCTGTTGGTACTGACGAATGAAGAGAAAAGAAAACGACAATGGTTTGCTTCTTAAGACTGAAATTAATTAGTTTCAAATTCCCTTGTTAGTTAATAAAGTGTACAATAAATACTGCGATTCAGAAACATGTTGAAACTATGTGGACACAAAATTCACTACATGTTGTGACTGCAGTGTACATTTTACGCTAAGTCATGTCATGATTCCATGGGCAGTTGTTACATTTCCGCTTAGATGGATATGATAACTTCAGAGACAGGAAATAAAGCAGAAACCAACGAAATATGACCTGCAACTGACTAGTCCAATAATACAACCTAGTTAATTCGTGTTTTTATACCAGACCAGGACCCGCAGTGTGACGGCTAATGACTTTACTCCACTGTCTAGGTCAAAAAATACGACCATCCTCGAACTCAGCTGAAATTCATTTGCTTAGATAGTTTAAAATTACGACGAGAATATTCTCGTCCCCTGTGTGTACTTAGACCTTGTATTATGTATCATCTGGGGTGAGAAACTACTAGTCAACACTAAAAAAAACTAACAAAAAGGAAAATACTGCTAAAACGAAATCAACCGAATCACACCGTAGACGAACACAGAAATCAGAAAGTTAACTGATCAAAAGGTTATCATGATAGGGTAAATTTAAGAGCAGTCTAATCCCACATATCCTATGAAGACTAGCTTACACATTAAAAGTAAAATTATGGTAATCTACGAGTCGCAAGAATGATATAACTCACCTAATACGCACGAAGAGTCCGTTATTGACAGGAAACAAGCATCATCGCCATAAACCCATTTAGGTGGAATCCTTGTTTGATATTTTGTATGCTTGTTGTCATATCCAGCAACAGCTGTCAACAGGCATAGTCTTACTCTCTTTAGAAATGATTTCGAAGTATTATCTTTACTGCGAACTGTAGATACGGAACGGATCAACGAGCGGATCTGTGATAACAGACTACTCATACGACAGGCTGTAGCGAGTTCGCTGATGTTTCACCAATACCACTGTTTATCCAGCGCACCTAGCATTGAAGTAAGAAAATGGATTTTGGTCTCATTGAATATGTCAACAACATAAGAACCATTTAAAAAATTTGATATAGTACTGGCAAGCAAGTCAGCCTGCACAAGTTGCCACAGTTAAAAACCATGCAAATTGGGAGGACAGAAAGGTACTGAGACAACAAAATATAAACGTATGTGTGACAAGTAATATGAAAATCAGTGGAGCTTTTCAGAATCTAGAAGAATACATAAAAGCCAATGTGGAGGAATATCATATCCCAAGGTGTTGCTAACCTTTAACTCCTAGAATCCAAAAGGCATAAGTAAGATCCACACTAGCCCACACAACTCAATGACCTCTCGCTATAATACGTACCGACTTAAAACCAGCTTAACTATACTTCACATGGCTCAGCTCACCAAGGGTGGCAGTGGTTCGACACGCTCAGCCATCTTAAATGCCGGGGCTTTATACCCGAACCGACTGACTGAAATCTTCATACCAATACTTTCGTTTGGCCTGTCGTAGTGAATTATCCCAGCAACAGCAGTAGCCCATATACATTGAAAACCTATATTTTTACGTCCTACTTCCAGTGTCTACGTTTCAGACGAAAAGTATGTAGCTGCTGAACGTCACATATACCATTAGGCGACCAGGATGATTCCAAGACTTACCAAACGTGAATAGCAAACTAACAACAGCTTGAAAAAGCCACATGTGACAAAGAAAATTATTCCGTTAAAATCCGTATAGCAAACAAATAATGACCCAATTGGAGGATTTGCTCGTTAACACGGAGGTGAGTGATGCACTTCTCCAAAGCAGGACAAACAGACTGATCTATTAACTTAGATAAGGGGTAGAGAAAGTAATGCAGCTTGTTGGATGATAAGTGAAAGTCATGGGAAAAGTGAATCACAGTTCCGCATCTCCTTCTTCAAAACTACTTACATTCCCACATAAACATGGGAAGACGCACGTTTTGATGATAACCTACCATGTAAACAGTTTTGTGATTTCATCCATTTGCAACCAACTCGAAACATATTCATGAATATCTACAACCTGTCCTGTTCCCTGTCTTACCACTTCTCACAAACTTAACTTTCTGCGCATTACTTTACCACCCAATCTAACCCCCCACACTTTTATTCATTTGGGTTCCCACATGCGTCGTCGAGGTGAGGGATCATTAACAAAATGCTATCCTATCAAACGCTGAGTGACATAATTTCAAATGAACATCAGGTGTGGAAAGTGGGATTACTTTTGGAGTATAATCTTGACGATGTGCAACTCCGTTTTCCTCAACAACCATACACTCAACTGGTTGTTATCTGCTTAGGTAGATAACAAAATACACGCTACAATTTCATAAACAATTTTAACAAACAAAATATATAGAGCAATTAAATATTATACCTACCTCACTGCCTGGCTAAAAATTTCTTTTAACAGACAGATTAACCGTCACACAAATGATGAAAACAAAAAGCGAGTTGGGCAGAGTAAGATTTAAAGTGTGCGGATAGAATCTTACGGCGAAGTTAAACTACCACAGCCAAAATAACAACGACCTTGAACAACCAATCAGAATTCAGATGCAAAAAAGTTTCATAATCAGTAAAAGGACGTGTTAAAAACAATTGTAGACCTAATATTACACTGGATAATTGTTTTATATGTGTTGTAAGAATGTCCCTCAGTTACTTCATGAATAATCCACAGAGAAATCATACCATGCATGATAGGTGGTCACAAGTAGTCGTGAAAGTGACTGTTGAGCAAAGTTCTCTTGATCTTAACCCTAAGACCTAATTCTAACCTTGGCCCTACTTAAAAGTACAGATTCACAGGAATCAGTACCCGAGGAATAAGCAGAACATTGTAACTATCCTCATCAGATCCATTAAAATAGGCATGATTTGGTTTGTGTGTCGGTGGCACAGTGGTTAGGACTCTCGCCGACCATGCACATGGTTCGAGGTTCGATCCCCTGCCGACGCACACCCGATATCTATGGTCGGCCTGTGAAATTTGGGCTACCGATATCCATGCTGAAAATTCCATACTTGTACTGAAAATACGGTGTGGCATCAAGCTGTAACCAAAATAAAAAAAATAAAAAAATAAAAAAATTTGGAATGACCTTTCATAGCATTCTCTAAATCTGGTTGGTTCTTGGAGGTCAGCTTTCGACAGACCTTCACTTTGACTATGATGGCTAATCTTCAACAGTCTATCAGTTTTTGATATCTTTGTTAATATAAAGCCCTTGCAATTCCTGTACCTTGTAGTGCACCTTCCAGTGTTTAAAGACTTTTTTAACATATGCACAGGACCAAGCGTCGTTTCGCGCTCTTTCCTGGTGCTGCTGATATGCATATTCTCTACGTCTGTAATTCAGCTATATTGGAAAAGTAAGTTGTAAGTCCTTATCTCTGAATAATGTTAACTTCTTTCCATTCAAATATACTGCTCATCACAGCATACTACAAATTAAGTGAGTTTTTTTATTTGCGTCTTGTTTTCAGTACTAACAGTTAGGTAGAGTTGACTGTACTGGCCAATAATGATATCGATAGTTGGTTACTGAAGGCTTTTCAGTAGATAGGAAGTTCGAGGACATGCTCGCAGAGTTTCAAGTGGCCCCTGACTTGTGGGGTGAAATTTCGAGTATGGCCAGGATGGATGACGGGGCCAGTTGCCGACAGAGTAGACTGTATTGTGAGCAAGATGGCTTACACATGTTCTGATGATAGCTAAACGACTACTGCTGAGTGCGCACCAGGTCATAAGCTATTGCCAGGTGGCTGCAAAATTGTTGAACGTGAGAGATATGGTCTGCCTTTTAGAATGGTAGGAGTGGCACTTTTACCTCAGTTGGAAGAACTGGTTCATGACCAAATAAAAGTAAAGCAGGAGGAAAGTCTTTTGATGGATGAACGGAAGATCTGTAGACGAGAAAGCACTGGGGTGTTGCATTATCCCAAAAAATATGTCGACAATCGGTTAAGAGAAGCTCACAATATACTCTTGATTCTTCGATCGGTACGTTTCATTAAGCCATAGATATCTGAATGATAGACAGGCGTATGAGATTTCCGAATACAAAACACGTTGTAGATGTGAGAGATAAATTGGCCCTCGAAGAGAGCGCGTCAGGCAAAGTGTGAAATAATATATATTGCTATCTATGTAGGACACACCATTCGTAGAGGCATTTATAAGTATTATTTAAATTACATTAATTTATTTTATTGTGAGATTACATATTTGCTGTCCATTTGGTTTTGGTTTGTGGTAATAATCTGTTAACTAGTCATTCATAGGACCGCATTAATAAACATAGAAATATTGTCTTCGCATGTATGTGTAGGATGGATTACAAATACTTGGGAAAGAATTGAGCTTGAAGTCATTTCCCCACATAACTTTGGTGTGTACGACATCGAATCTTTCTCTTGATTTATATATAAATTGGGTATTAATTCAAAATAAGTGATTCATTGGTATAAATTTGTCAGCATATTCATCGTAAGTAACACCGGAAGTGAATCGCACTCAATGTAGACTTATATCGGTCGTTGTCAGGCAGATTTGTTTTACTGCGCCGTGGTCGGCCGCCATTTGTCGCTGCATGGTTGTTCTGTACGGGTAAGTTGATTAAGATGTAGAAAACTATTTTGCAAACCATTTTAGGCAATGGGTACTGTCTGTGTAGGATGTCATACAGCGTTCTGATATGGTGACTGGAGTTTTCAAGGATGTTGAGTTATAACCAGCCAAAAGCTTGGAGGATGATATGGTATAAGTAAGTAAGTGGCTTCAAGTGCCGTTCAACTTCAGTCTCACTGGAAATAATAATGATGTTTTATACACATAAATTAAGCATTTACGTGATTGAAATACCGCTTGTACAGGCATAATAATATCTGATAAGTGCAATTTTAGATTGAACTCTGTTTTATGAAATAAAAATTGAAAAAACTCTAAAAACTTTATAAGAAGTTTGTTGTTTACTTTTAATGGAATAAGTTATAAGATAATGGTTTAAGTCTAAGTTTTAATCGTGCAACCTCCACTACAAAGCAAATAGAAGAGAAGAGGCGAGCAGCAAAGTACCAAAGAGGAAAGAAAAAGTGAATGGGCATGGATAGGACCTTAATGTTTGTATATATATGTCTATGTTCTTTGCACATTGCCGTGTAGTAAACATATACATGTATTTCTACTTAGTCTTTTTATGAATCTATGCGACTAGTCTATTTATCGTTTATAGAGAAATCAGGGAATTTTCGCAAGTTTTTCAGGTACTGTAGTAAACAAATAATTGATTCTTTCTAAAAATAAATAGTTTGTTAATGTAGTCAGTAGAGTGCAACAGTCTGGAAAGAGAGCGTTTGAAACTTATAACTTATAACTTCCCAGGGCAGGCTATTCCATAATTTAGAATGCGTGACTGTGAATAAGCTTTAGCGGAGTGTTGATTTAAAGGCTCTGCAAGTTTGACTACGCAGATCGTAAGGGCCTTCCGGTGAGAATTGTGTTTTTATTATCTGAGAATGGTATTTTGTGTAGGACCTTAAAGAAGAATATTAGGTTTATAAAAAGTCGTCGTCGTCCAAAGTGGGTCAAAATTTAGAATCATGCACCGTGAGATGTAGTCTTTCCTACAGTCGAAGCCAAGTAGTTTGGACGCGAAATATCGTTGGATACTTTCTATCCATAGCTTGTCGCGTGTGCGAGTGCTGCTAATAATAAGTGGACAGTATTCTAGTAGTGGCCTTACATATGTTTTGTATAGAATGAGCTTTGCTTAGATGTCGTGAAAGTTCCTGAGTATGCATCCTAAGAACATCCTCGGCTTTCGAGTCTGTGATGCCACTTGCTCAGAGAATGCTAGATCACTAGAGTACCTCAGGCCTAAGTCAACGACACTTCGGAGTTTGGG